ATGCCTTTGCTTACAGGTAAAATATTTGTCTTTTAACTTTAAAAAATGTACTACCTGCCTCTGATGATGTCCTTGATATAAGTGGAAGTATCAACAAAAAATAACTTATAAAAAAGCTAACTGATCAGTTTGAGAAATGTGATGGTTAGTAGCAGCAAGACTACATGGAAATTCATGAATATAGAGTTTTCTCTTTCTTGTCCTTCGGCCTACATCTGCAGCAGACTCAGAGGCCTGAGAATTAGGAGAATACTGAATTCTTTCGGAATAGTATACGCATTCCATTTGAAGCAATTTCTTGCCATTCTTTCTGTTTCCTCTTTAAGTTTGCCTTTTTTTCTTTGTTAATAAATGGCATAATTTATTTTCAAGTCACTTTTCTAGACCCAATCCTATTCCTCCTCTAAATGCACTAGAATTTTATTTTGTACAACTGCTCCTAAAAGATATTTTAAAACTAAATTTGCTTTTTCAAAGTTTTATGTAGTCACTTTCCTCTTTTCCTACAAATATTGTTGCTACTCAAATGATCTTTTTTTTCATTTCTCTAATAGGTACCTTCTCAAGGAGTGTTTAGTGATAATGCATTTCATTTCTTTCCAGAATATTTTCCTAATTTTCTCTTCACTCTCAGCATTGCCTAAAGGAAAACTTTTCCTGTTTTGCACTTATAATGTGAATAATGGCTTTATATCAAATTAAACAACTCTATCAAAAATATGTTAAAGGATTTTTTTAAATATCTAATTGTGAAGATCACAAATAGGTTAAATATACTTGGCTTTATTTCAAGCCTTATAATCCACTGTGGTTTCACAGACTTGTCTAGACAAACAGCAGTCTATCAGACACAACTCCCTTTGGTCTTTTCTGTCATTAGAAGTTACATCAAACCAAAATTTGCAAAGAAATGACTTAGTGCACCTTTATTTAATGGACATCTTATCTTTTTATGTGGAAAAATTATTTTAAGGGACTCCTGCTACTCAGTTTCTAAATCTGCCTCAACAAGTCAGGGCAAGATTTAGTGAGTACTCATATGTGCTGTGGATTTAGGGTTTTTTTTTGTTGTTATTATTTAAAAAAAAACATTTCTTTATTATCCCTTCGTGGTAACAAGCTTTTTAAAACATTTTCTGAAGGTTTCTAAAATATCTCCCACAAAACCACAGCCCTACCAGGGCAAACCTCACTGCCTGTCAGGGACTACACTATAGACCAGCAATGTTTTAACTTGATACCTGTTTCTGCTTAGTTTATTTGGAACTTTTCCAAACCTAACCACCCTGCTTGCTCTCTAATTCAAGAATGGCAAACCTTCTCTGAAAACGTCCAGATAGTAAATATTTTAGGTTTTGTGGATCATATACAGTCTCTGTTGCAGCATATTATTCTTTTTGTAGCAACTCTAAAAAATCATTTTTAGCTCACAGGTCATACAAAAACAGGACATGGGCCTAATGCATCAGGCTCCAAATTAGTCATTGGATGCAGACATACAACCCCAGGGTGAGGGAGAATTAATTTGGGGCTCTTGCTTCATAGAAGCCAACAGTAATTCCCTGGCTAAAGATTAACAAGTAAAAAATATGTATTTTGCCAGTTCGGTCTCTTCCTAATTTACTTATATTTTCCATGATGGCTAGTTTCTTGGTTTTTTTCCCCCATGGACAAATAAATAAAAGACTTAAGAAGGGAGAGAAGAAGGACGCAGAAGGAGATAGGAGAGAGAGGAAGGAAAGGAAGAGAGGGATAAGCTAAAATAAAGAATGGAAAAGAAAGCAAAGAGGAAAGGAAAAGAAAAAGAGGAAGAAAGAGCAGAAAAAATAAAAAAGAAAGAGGTAGAGAGGAGTGGGAGAGGGAGGAGAAAAAGAGAAAAACAGAGAGGGAGCCAGAATATGGATGCTAGGGCACAGTCTCTCCTTTTTTTCCTTAGAGCCAGGCAGCTCTTAGAGGCACCTCCCCAGCTGCTTTCAAACATTGAGGTTGCTGCCCAGCTACTGATCACCATCCCAAAAAGTGAAATGTGGGCTTCACATCTGAAAACTTCCCCTTGGTTTTTCACCAAATGAAATGGAACACAGGATTCAGGGCCCAAGCAAATGGCTCATGTTTTCTTTGGGACACTTAGGCTGTGTCTACCCAGGGAAAATTTTGATGTACTGACTGACTCCAGTGCATATGATTAATGTATATATAGGGCAAACCAGGATAATTCAGACCTTTTTTTCTTCCACTGCAGGTTTTCAGCCGGAATTATCTGGATGGTTGCCTCAACTCTCCACTAGGCTTTGCCAGGATAAGCACAGTCAGTGTAGTATGCAGGAGACAGGGACCACTCCCTCTCTTCAAGGTTCCCTTCAACACCCACACCCTATGCAGCTGAGTGTAGTGGGATCTGTCCTGACAGGCATTCCTTCTGGGGGCAAATGTAAATTCTGTTTAATGAGTCTCTAAGAAGCCCCAAGAACTGTAAATGTTGCATTCTGCTGAACTGTCAAATGGCAAAATATAATAGACAAGTGAAGAGGGAGAACCATACTAATGGGGAAAAAATTTTACCCTGTTCTTTTCTGCATCCCAGAAAGAGGCTAGCAAAGCCAAAGTCCATGAGATCCCAATCAAATGAGTTAGTACGTATGTGTATAGTTTGCCTTATGACTATAGACACCCAGGTTGTGATTTTTTTAAATTTAAGTAGAGACATAAATATAGCTTTAGTTTTTTTGAAGTGTAGTTTAAAAGTATATTTAAACTACATCCCAACAAATAGTGTTGTTCCTAGAGATACACTTTATGTGACAGTGCTCCTGAAAAGGTTTGTACAGATCAATTTTTAAAAATTAAATTATAAGCTGCAATTAATGAAGGAACAATACTACTCAAAGCAATCCCTTGGTAGATTATTTTGTAAAAAATTCTTCTATAAAATTATCAATTAACTCACAATTCACCTCATAAAATTATATTTTCATGGACTTCTGCACTGATACCATGATTCTGGATTGGGGTTTTCTTTTGTTTTAGATGAAAGGTGAAAAGGATAATGGTTAAAAAGCATGATAGTTTATTTTACTGTATCTTACAGATCCAACTTCTAATGATGAAGCTTCCCACATAACTTCTTTCTTTTTGGGAGCAGAAAGAAAGGAAGAAAATGAAAAGTCAGAGCTGTTGATACATTGGGATAATATTTTTCCACTCTATTGAAACTTTCTATCTTTCCTTCCATTCTGTTTCATCAGTTCTCTAAGTGATAATTGCAAAGTGATAACATCTCCATTGTTACTTGTGTGTTTTTTTTTTGTTTTGTTTTTGCAGATTTCCTTGCTGATTTTTCCCCCCTGAATGCGTAATAAAACACTCAAAAATTTTAAGAAGTTTCCCTCCTGACTTAGAAACTGTCTTATTCCCGTTAAATACAATCATTGTAACTACTGCATGAGAAAGTCCTGAAATGCATTAAGTCACAACCAAAATAGCAGTAACAACAAATTGTCAAATGGGCGATTCTATGTGTATTTCTTGAAAGTTGTTTATCTGTAGGATATGTAGAAAGTTTGCTCATTTTCACTTGTGAAAGTTTTTTTTGCTGCCAAGTGGTTAAAATAAATCCCTGGAAAAGAGAGGTCATCTCAAAAATATGCATTTGTAAAATAAGTTTCTCTTTACAAATGGTGTGTACCGGGCTGTGGTGGCCCCACACTATGTCGTGTATCTGACTTCTTGAGAGCAGTCTGTAACCTTGAGCAGATTTGCAGTGACAAATGTTGCTATGCTTCTGTAAGCACTGCTTCTGCTAGAGGGCACTGTACATTAGATAAGTCCTTGTGCTCTGCTTAGTAAAGAGAGCTCTCTGGTGCAGCACCTGTGTCCAAATCTCCATTTGTTAACACATGTGTGTGTTTCCCTTTTTGGCAGATAAGACTTTGGGAAGCATGATTGCAAAGGGATTCCATGGGATAAACAAACCTAGAGTTAGCTGAGTGTTTTTCTGCCATGAAAAAGCCATAACATATTCACCTCACTTTCATAATTGCTCCACAAAATAGCGCAAAGGCTTACTTTTCAGTTGATAGATTCCTCCTTCTTCATCGTTCATTTCACACCATCCCCCACCTCCAATTCTACCCTCCACTCTTTCATGGAATAAAAAGCAGCTGGTTCAGATTAAACCTGTGGGCACTCACTACTTCTCTGTCTCTGGGTTTGAAGGGCAAAACGGAGAATGTACATTTGCAAATGACAGAATGTATTCTGAGAAACAAGCTATGGTTCTACAAGAGATTTTCCACCATCTCTATATCACATTAGCTCTCAAGTAGTTTAGTATATATAGCCCCTGACTTGTTCAGTAGGTGAAAACTATGAACAATAAATACAATTAATATTTGACAATTAAAATAAATAATATTAATTAAAAAGAAAGAAAACTAGAGTGGAAAAGCAAACCAAATTTTGACATACAGTTACCTTGCCTTTATTAAAAGACTTCATTTCTCTTTTCGACATATTGATTGCTTGTTCACTTAGAGTACTAGTCTGGAAGGCTGCTTTGAATATATTAAATAACTAAAACTCCCTGAAATACATCTAATCTCTGAAGAAGTCAGAGTTTATGTTAGCCAATAGAACATTGTAAGTAATGATGAGGGGAAAGAAAATATGGATTATAAGCAATTGTTTTTATGTTTTTATTATTAAGGAAATGAGCTTTATATATATATATAAATATTTTTTATTTTCATATTGTGGAGTACAGTTAAGGGTTAGGTATACAAATATGCTTCGTTCAGGCACCCTTGTTGATAAGGGGTGTCTCCCTGTCCCCAGACAGATATTGACTACCGTTAGAGCTTTTTGAATGTGGAATATAAGAAAAGAAAATGTGATGGACTTTAGTGAAGGACTGGATCTTTGCTATGCTAGAGTGAAAACCTGATGTTTTAAAGACTGGCAATGTCTTTGTTTTACTCTTTCTCCCTTTCTGTGATTTGTAGCTTACATTGAAGATCTCACAAGATGTGTTGAGCAAAGCAGAAGACTTATTATCGTGCTAACTCCAGACTATATTCTCAGACGGGGATGGAGTATTTTTGAACTGGAAAGCAGACTCCATAACATGCTAGTCAGTGGAGAAATCAAAGTGATTTTGATTGAGTGTACAGAATTAAAAGGGAAGGTGAATTGCCAGGAAGTGGAATCACTAAAACGCAGCATCAAACTTCTGTCCCTGATCAAATGGAAGGGACCCAAAAGCAGCAAATTGAATTCTAAGTTTTGGAAGCACTTAGTATATGAAATGCCTATCAAGAAGAAAGAAATGTTATCTCAGTGCCATGTCCTGGACTCTGCAGAACAAGGACTTTTTGGAGAACTCCAGCCTATACCCTCTATTGCAATGACCAGTACCTCGGCCGCTCTGGTGTCATCTCAAGCTGATCTCCCTGATTTCCACCATTCTGATTCAGTGCAAATGAGGCATTGTTGCAGAGGTTATAAACATGAGATGCCAACGACCACCTTGCCAGTACCTTCCTTAGGCAATCACCACACTTATTGTAACCTGCCTCTTACTCTACCCAATGGACAGGTACCCCTTAATAATGCCCTAAAAGATACCCAGGAACTTCATAGGAACAGTTCTTTGCTACCTTTATCATCCAAAGAGCTTAGCTTTACCAGTGATATTTGGTAGTGAAAAATTCAAATTCTTCTGAAAAGCTGAATGAGTATACAGAATTTCTGATATACCAAGTATAAAGTACACCTAATAACATTGAGGTGCTGAAAAGTGAAGAAAAAGGCACAGAAATTGCTTTTTGTACTTAAATATTTTTGTTTATATTTCCAGAATAGTGGGGGGAAAGAAGGACCTGCTTTTTGTAGTATGGCACCTTGTTCCAATGTACAGTTTTGATTTCTTCCTAAAAAACAAAAATTTTGAAACTCTATTGTTTTAGAATAGGTTTTATGATAACACATGGACTGCAAATTTAGTAGGTGAGCTGTCTTGCTTATATTTATAAATATTTCAACATTTAAATGGTATTTGAAATAAGGACAATTTACAGACTTTAATTGAATTTGAAAATCTTGAATGAAGTTTAAGGGGAAAGAGAGCTTCTATAGAGTTCTGAAAAATCAGGAATTATCAAGAGAGAAATGTTGAGGTACTCCAGTTGGAAGATTGTTTGTGGAAGAAGATCAGTTAACAAAAAATGTGATTGAAATGGTTAGAGCTTCCTCAACATAATAGACAGCTTCTGTATTCTAAATCAACAACTCATAATAATAGCTTTTAGTTTTACTAGGCAAGCGCATCTTCTGTAGGCAAACTTGTAGGTAGGTTAAAACATGTGCACTTCTTAAGCAAATGTATAGACAGGCTGTGGGTTCTTTGATGATTATGAACAACCCATGAGGCTTTCTAGCTACTTTCAGAAGTTTTACAACTTTGAAAACACATTTCAAAGTGCACATTTTATTGTTTCCTAACAGATTCACATTTGGATTATTTTCAAATGATCTCTTGACCTGCTATAAGTATTATATGAAGATGTGGACATCTTCCTGCATTTTTTTCAGCTACGCTGGAGTGTGAATTTAAATACATATTGACTGCAAGTGTCAGCAATTGAAAATAAGTAATACAACAATATTCACAGATGAAGTGCCAAATGATTGAATTTACTAATGATAAAGCAGCAATTGCAGAGATTCTCGCCTGCAATGTGGCTGAGAAACAGACTACCCTGTACATACACAGTATCTGCCTGGCCATGTGTGCAAGGCTCCTGCAGAAGTATCTCTATTCCCGGTTCTTCAAAGAGTATATTTGATAAGCTAAACTTCTCCACCCTCACATAGTGACTGTGACTGTACCATACCATAAAATCCCTGTGAATAATCTAAGATATTGCCTATTTGCTGTAAGGAATGTACCCCTATTCTAGTATTTATTGTAGATTACTACTTTATGTTTTTTCCAATTAATCAAATTAGATGTGCTTTCATCTAAGATGCCTGTGGAGGTCAATTATTAATCAAGGTGGATTCTGACATTGTGCAAATGGTTCTTAAATCATGTCTTTGCACAGACATAAAGAAGGATAAATGTACACAGTGTGTAAAAATTATTTGCCTAACCCGTGTAATTGTGAAACCCAAACTCATAAGAGAGCATTAGATAATATGCTTTATTTCTTTCTATCTCTTTCTGTTATTGATTCTCTGTGATCTATAAATTTTGTTCAACATACGTGTTTCTTTGTTGCTTTCCTATATCCAGGTGTTCAGAAAATACATTAGACACTAACAGTACATGAAAGTTTAGCAGTGATACCTGTACACCTTCACAGTGGGACAGTTAGTTGCTACTTTGAAACGTCCTGTTCAACACATGTAGGTGTTTTATAGATGTATTTTTCCACTGAGAAAGTTTATTTTGTTCTGTAAAAACTATATGTATTTCAAAATGAAAATTTGTCAACTCTGAACTGTTTTCCAAGTATTATAAAGTTGTATTTACTCTGGTTGTTCTTCAATACTATGTATAATTACTAAATTACTAATCCGCATGAAGTGAGTAGTATATGATTCAGTGACCAATTGTACTTTTTATTATTTTATTTTTCACAGAAATCTAGATTAATTCATATAGAATGTTCAGTGGTATTTTTTAAACTAATAGTTCTGTATTGAGCATGCCAGTTCTGAAAATATAACATGAGTCTCTCTGCTTCCTTTATTTACAATGATTAAACGTGGGTAGCAATTTGAGTTGGCTGGCCACAATGTGTCCTTTCACTACTAGTAGGTACTCAAAAACAGAGCATTCACACTTGTGCTGGGGAACTCGACAAGAAACCTTTTCTACCATTTTCAGGAACCAATGTGTACACTATCTATAAAAATGTATTTCTAGATGGCAATTCAAAATTTAATTTTCATCTGAGATTTTTAAAAGATATAGCACATAAGGATACAAGTATTTAGTCTAGAACATGAAGTATTTTTCCAGTTGTATACACAGTGGGAATTTTTAAAATTTTTCATTTAATCATGGATTCTTGAAACCTAGAAAAATACTGATAAAACTAGCTATCATACATTCATAACAAACCTATTGTTATGTGAGTATAGATAATTTTAAATGCTGAGGTTATTTTATGGTGAAATATTCAGAAAATATCCGAAATGATAAGACAAATGAGAAATGCACAAAAGCAGTAGGTAGATAAGTAGGAAATTAAAACTGCAAAGAACAATGCTCAGGGAGACGGGCAACATGCACATGGGTTTAATTTAGCAAAATATGAAATCTGGTTGGATTAGTAATCTATGGGCCCCAATCTAACTATGGAGATTCAAAAATAGCGGGTTGTTTCCTGAAGAGAAGATATTTGTTCTCACCACCTCTAATCCTTGATTGAATTGCACCAAACCTGGTCTGTTTGCAATCATTCATTCAAAGTCTACAGAGACTTGAGGGTTTCTGGTAAGGCTTGAACCTAAGGTAGCCTCGTGTGATAGGTTAATATTTTGTTTGAGGATTGATAGTTAACATTATGGGACTTAAAAAGGAGGAAATGGTGCAATAAGAGGGTGAAACAGAGTTCAGTTATGAAAGAAGAGTTCATAAAGGAGTTCAAGAGGACATGGAAATGTGTAGTAGCCTATGGATAATTTCAATATCAGCTTGAAAAATGGTAAGTGTGAGAAAGAAGAAAATTCTAGCAAGAAAAGGAAAAAGACTCCCAGACCCAGTTGGTGTTTGAAGGCTAACAAGGGTATGGAATCACTGGTTTACAGCATTTGCAGCTATTTGGCTTTTTTTTTTTTTTAATAAATTGACTGTTTTTTGCCAAGTTTTCTTTAAAAATTAAGTAATGACCAAGGGAAATATCTTAAAAATTACACATATAAATCTTTAAATTCCTTGTATTCATTCCCCAAGGTGAGATAGTGAACTGATAAAACTGGATGCAAGTTAAGACAGAAAATAGTTCCACAGTGACCAGTTAAGTTTGAACACTTGCAATTGTTGTTGCTCTTTTCTGGAACAGAATTTAATGTTGAAAACTGTCTGATTCCAATTTATCTATTACTAATGCATTTTTTGTTCTAAGATATCTGATAGGAGGTCACGATGTTGAGTATTAAGGCTCTCTGGGGAATGTATGTGGTAGTTTGATAAACAATAATCATTTGCTTCAAATTCTCATATGAAACTTGCCTTTGTTTGGAACTAAAAATCAACCACAGGAAATTTTTGTTGTTTTTTTGTTTTTGTTTTTATTTTAAGGATATGGGGTGCAATTCAGGATTAGAAATAGTCATTGTATAGGTAAAATTTGCGCCTCACTTTGGTCCCCACTTCACCAGGTATCCTTATTGATGAAGTGTGTCCCCCCGCCCTCCCCTGGCAGTTTCCCTCTACTCCCAATCCCTTTTTTATAGTATTATGATAGTCATTCAGGGTCTGCTTATGGGTGAGAATATGTGATACGCAGTTCTTTGTTTCTGTGATACATCACTGAATATTATAGACTCTAAATCCATCCAAGTTGTTGCAAAGTCCATAATTTTGTCCTTCTTTATGGCTGCACAATTTTACAAAGTTATTCAGCACTCCATTTAATTACTGTGAGACCAGAACTTGACTTGTAAGATCACCTACCTTCATCTAACTTGTCTACCTAAATACTCACTGCTGTTTGCTCAACCACATTTTTTCCAGATAATATGAAGTCAATCATGAGTATTTACTGAGTGACCCTGTATACTGACCACTGAATAAAATATAATAGAAATATTTTTAAAATCAAAGTCTTGGTTCTCAAATAGTTTACTCATAATATGCACAAAGAAATGGATGTTAGTAAGACACATTCTAGTGTAGGAAAATTAATATTATACATTCAGAGTGGATAAATGAGGTGGGGAAATTCAGTGCTGGCTTGGGCAGGAGATAAGTTTGAAGTAGATGAAACAGTGGTGAAGAATGAGGATTTTCCAAGTGCAGAGAATAGCTCATGTGAAGACTGAAGGAAGAGTAAGTCTCATTTAGCTGCTAGCAAGTTGGCTGGCAAGAGCAGAAATCTGTGTGAGGACATAATAAGAAACAAGGCTGAGAGAGGTGCTAGAGCATTAATCTGATAGCAGATGCAGAAAAAAATAAGGGGAGAAATGAAGGCAGGAAAAGCAGCCTGAACTCTATTGTCACAGTCCAGGTGTGAAGTGATAAGAGACGGACCAAGCACGGTGACCTAGATACTCTCAGAGAAAGGCAGATCCGAGGAGGAAAAGAAATAGGATGTAGTGATGTAAAAACTGGAAAATGGAAAAAAAAAAAACAGTTAATAAACACTTCAAGGATCAAAAAAGTTATGTCAAAGGAATTCTTTTTGAGTGCTTATCTTAACTGAACATCCTGATGCTTTCAGGACAAAAATAGAGGCAACTCAGTAATAGGTATATTTGCTACTGGAACAACCTATGAAGCATTTGAAGAAGAGTAGCGGTCAGGAAAGGCAAAGTGCTTCTGCAAATAATCAAATTCGCTCCGCTGATTATAATCCCAAATTCTCAATGAAGGAATTGAGGAAGTTTGGTCCTTTAGGTGCCATCTTCTGATTCTATTTAAGTTTTTCACCTCATTTTGTAATAAACATCTGTGATCCTAAAATGAAGGCATTGAAGTGATTGAATCAGAAGGAAACAAAGTCCAGGAGACTGGGATTGAGAGAGATTGTCTGCAGTTCTAAAATAGAG